CATCCCTATGATTTAAAATGGTCCAACTGCTCATCATATTTGGTCGTTTTTTATCAGAAATGAAATTTGGGCGATTACAAAAATATCATTCTGGGCCATCATTACCCAACGCATGGTATCCAGTTGGGTCTTTTTTCAAGTAACTGGAATTATTGGATCACATATAAATCCTTTTAAACCCATTACCACTCCAATGCTATACCCCTTGACACCTTACTCTTTTTTTTTTTTTTAACTGTCGCTGGGTGTATATGATAGAGTACAGTCCGGTGTTGAGGGACTGTGGATAGAGGTATTTGAGAGGCATAACTCAAGTCTCGTGACTCTCGCTCTCAGCGAGATTTCGGCGTCCATTTGCGTCTGAAGTCTATTTGAATATTCTTTCGGGTACTTTTATACGAATGTAATATACAAAACAAAATTCTGTTTTTGTTCTTATTCTTGAATCTATGTAATATACTAAACCCCAAATTCCTCGTATGCTATGCATATATAAACAACGCCCAGACAGAAATGAATTTGCAGCTATTTGCATGATATAAACTCACTGTGTTACTTCAAATATCACGAAGTGTTCACTTTACTCATTTGATACTACAAAAATAATTTTGGATACAGAAATACATGGAATATCATAATACATCATATCCGGATTCTGTCTCTTGATTGGTTATTACGTGGTCACATGGAGTTGTGTAGACTTATGCGAACACACTGAAATGTTTAGGGAACAAATTCAAAGTTAAGCGTTTTGTACTTTAGACAAGGAACTAGTTGAGCTAGTATCCGACAATGATTCTCAACAGACTAGGGATGCTGTCAAATAATCTTTAGCTTAAAGCGGGGGATTCATCACCTGCGCATGCATCAGATGGTATGTCATACCATGAGCCTTTGCGTTTTTAGCGTGTGTTGTTATCGTTGCTTGGGACTCAATTCCCGCGCGTGCGCAGACGACGATCCTCCCGCTTTAACTTTATAACGAAACTATTGTATAATAATAATAATCTCGTTCTTAGATGCCGCGCACACATTGAACTTTGCGGAAAACCACATGGCACATTCTAAATAATGTGTATTGATGTGCATTAAAAGTCTGTATGAGGTGCATTAAAAAAAAACACTAACTGGCTTTATTCAAGCAAATGCGTTTAATATTATATGTCTATTTCCCCTCGGGATTTTGCGTCTCCACCGGTCGTGCAATAAACTGATTTGTTGGATGACCGAAAGTCTTGCCAGGAAATAAGAATAAGTTAATGTTCCCAATCAATAGCTCAGGCAACATTTAAATAAAGACGAGATACAAATTTTACAAAACAAAAATCAATTCAATACAACACTTGGCTCCTCACTCCCTGTTACACAAGTATATTACAGAAGAATAATTTGCTATATTCTCGATATTTTTGCATTTTATTTGTCTTGAACTATGACTGAAAGCAGCTAAGTAAAATTACAAACTATGCAGTGTGTCCAACAACTCGTGTTAAACAATAACTTTAATAAATATTGTTTTACTTGGTAAAATACTGTAATTTTCTGCATAAAAACGAAAGAATTTCACAATGTCGGAAATTGAGTCGTAGTGTTTAATGTTGAGTTATACTACAAATGCAAATGCCACTATGGTCTATATATTACAATTTGTATATGTCTGGTATCTTTGTATATAGGACATCGAACTTTGTTTGATATAAACATGGATCATGAAATGTGGACTTTGTTATTTTAACGGCGCTGCCGACTAGTAGGTCGAGCATATATAGTATTATAGTAGTAAATCATGGTCACTATAGTACGACGGTTCGGAAACGAACCTTCATTATGTTTAAGCTGTTATGTTGCATTAGCACGGGTCTAAAGCGGACACGGATTCGGCGTAAGAACGCGGATGCGATGAGTGTTGGTTTGATTTCACATAAATAGAAGGGGGCAAGGGCGGGGGCGGTAGCTGGTACATGTTACAGGAAATAAAAAAGGCACTTTTACGTTTTTACAGAAAATAAAATGAAAGTTCAATTCACAGTAAAAAATAGTTTTTTTAAACTTAACAGATAAAGCAAATTCTTAATTACATTTTTCATTTTTATAATATATTTGATAATTTGTGTTAAGAATCAAAATTTGAAATTTTGATAACCATCTACACGAACATATTGTCTACGGTTAGATAGATAATCTTTAAACCAATTTAGAGGAGTACCACGGATGCCATAATTGAGTAACTTGAATAGTAAGATTTCGTGGTTGATTGTATCAAAGGCTTTAGTTAGATCGAGAAATACACCAAAAACTATGTTGCCGTCGTCAATTGTTCTAGCAAGGTCAAAGTTTATGTCAATTAGTGCGAGCTTAGTACTATATTTGTTTCCGAAGCCATACTGATATTTATTAATGATTTTATGTTTGTCAAGAAATAAAATTAATTGCTTGTTAATATTTTTTTTCAATAATTTTGCTAATGATTGGCAATATAGAAATTGGTCTATAGTTGCTCACTAAATAGGGAGAACCTTTCTAATTTTTGTAAATTGGGAAACAGTAGCGAGTTTAAGTTGGTGTGGAAAGATACCTGCAGTGAGGGAGAGATTGATAATGTGACATAATGGTTGTTTGATGTAGGGAGCAGCATCTTTTAGAAGACGGGGAGAGAGGAGATCATGACCACTGGGTTTATTTGGGTTCAAACTATTAAGCTCTAACTCTATATCATTTTCACAAACTTGGTGGAGGAAGAATGAATTTGGCTTGGGAGAACTTGAATAACTCAAAGGATCATTGGTCTGATTAATCTTATTTGCAAGGTCTTTGCCGACTGTAAGCAGGGCAACTCGAAACAGTTACACGTGGATGATTTTCATGACCCTTTGGAAATAATAATTTCAATGACTATTCATTGCCATATGACTCAAACAGTTAACAACGAGTTAGTTTGCATGTCCTTCAAATATAAGCAAGCGATTAGATTGCATGAGACCCATGTTTTTTTCATACACGTGAGCACACTTACACCAAATAGTTAGAAATAACTATACTTTGTCTCAACTTTTCCTCTCATCTTCAAACTAAGGTAGACTGGCCCATATCTCTTCAATAACAAAGTACAAGTGAATCCATAAACCTGTCGTTGTTTTTTTAAATTCTCCAGATTCAATTTAGATCCATGTTTTGCCATAATTGTTTGTAACTTTGGTGAAAAATGGAGCTTTTACAGATGTTGCTCTATTTAGAGGGTCGGCAAGGGGTATTCTCGTAAGCTGTAATCAATTGTTTTTATTCTCGTAATAATGTAATTTAAATAAATAAAAAACGTGAATTCGTAGACATCTGCAAGGTCTAAAATGTAATCAGCTATTTTATTCGTCCGTAATTTGTACAAAGATCCTATTTTTTGTAAGCGTGTAAAGCATTTCCCACATTAAATGCCGTAATTCGTGCGCAATTTCAAATTTTGATTCTTAAACACAAATTATCAAGTATATTATAAAAATGTAAAATGTAATCAGGAATTTGCTTTATTTGTAAAGTGTAAAAAGCTATTTTTTATTCTAAATGGAACTTTCCATTTTATTTTCTGTGAAAACGTAAAATGTATTTTTATTTTCTGTAATCTGTACCAACTATCCCCCTTGCTCCTACAATCAATTATAATCTCTAAATCCCCAAACATCCTCATCCGTATCCGTGATACAATACCATTTTGGCTGAAAATACGCGCACCAGTGTGGTTTATGAGAGTTAAAATTTGAAAATGGGTGTAACTACGTTGAAACATACCTGTTGAAACTTGTCTCTAAATCACACTTCTCCTTAAACTTTCACAATATTGACCGTTGGGGAGACCTTATGCATTGTATAGCATTGTATAATTATGGGAAGAAAACCATGGAGCCATCATGTATGGGAGATATAGAAAACGTTTCCCCTCTACACCGAAATTATAATAATGTTGTACCAGCACCAATAATCTAATATATTGAATTTCATGGATGTTTTTTTTTATCACAAATTGTAAGATTACTATTTTATTTAACATAAGCTGAAATAAAAAGATTTAAAAGTGAAAACTAATAGCGACATCAGTGGTCCTTGGTTTATCCCAGAGCATTGCTCAGCGCGTGCTAGAATTTCGTGTAAACAAACAGTGTACATGTATTTTACACGCGTTGTATACGTCACTGTGCAATCCCCGGGTGCACAATCTCCCAGGCAGAGTTCTATTCCACGAATAGTAGTTTATAAATAAATAAACGCTGCTCGGACTGATGAATATGATAGAAAATTTCTTCTATGCTATCGATAAAGAGCCATTGCTCGAAACGTCTAGCTATTTTCAATAGTTATTTAGGACTACGATTACCAAATATTATCTTCTATATATCATATTCCACGAATATATACTTTCGGTAGTCTAACCGCCAGGAACTCTGGGAAGGAGAACACGACACGACGCGCTGGGACGACTGTAACGTTTTAAAAGTTCGCGATACTTCAATGGACAAGTCTAAAATTAGCTGCTAGTATCATGCAAATTAGTTAATTAATATGTACGGTTACAGCCGTATAGTAATCAGGTTAGTGATTTATCTCAGAGTACAGTATTGGCTAATTTATATAAATTATATAATTAATATGCACGGATTTGAACCCTAAAAATCAACGATAACCGTGTAACATCACCAACAATCGTATAATATCACCAACAGTCACATAACATCCCGTAGACCCGGACTATTGTGTAAAATTGCCGAATGTGTTATGGCCACCGTAATCGGTAATGAACAGATGTAACTGAACGTCTATCATCAGTATTTTTTGACAATCAAAAAAAACAACAACTTTCAATACAAAGTTACCCCTAATTATGGAAAGCGATACAGATGACGTACAGTCGGCTAATGGCCAGGCAAGTTTTGTAAATATGCGGGGACCTTGAAACCGTAGCGCCATAAATAAGCAGGTGAAATGGAATATGCAAATTAGGTCGTTTTATTGTGCTTCATTTTTTAACCACTTTCTCTGTAAACCTCAGTGGTGGAGGCTCGTCCTGCGTGCATTTGAAGAATTTTACTCCCCTCGTCTTCCGAAATAACATCTAAAAATGTCGGAGGCTGATAAGCAGTCCTTCCAAAACGTAAGTATCGTGTTTACTTGCGTTTTCGTCGAGAGTCTGGCGACCGACTTTAGGTGTGTGTGCACAGTGTGACAAATATGCACGCCACTCACGCTGTGGCCTGTTTGAGTTTGAATGAGTGTGTGACTATTTGTGAATGGCGAGATCTGTACTCGATGTAGTAAAGAACCAAAACAGTAAGAATATTTTAATCTTCTTCAGAAATTCCATAGAGATAGCGGGCAGTTTGGCATCAACAATGTCAGACGGATCTCCAAATTCCCTTTTTAATGTATTTTTACGACGTACGACCACCTTGCAACTTGGGCGTGTATGTGAAGGTCATGGTATTTGCTTGGGACTCTCATATCGTAATGAAAAGTCAGAGTACTGCCGTCGTTTTTTTGTGACAAATGTACATGGATTCTGAGAATGGTATAATTTAACATCAACTTGATGCGCTAAGGAACTATACTATAATATCTTCGCGGTTTACCTGTGATACAAATACAATACACCCCTTGAACAGTTTGGCGTTCCACTCAGGTTTTGGGTGTGGCATTTCAGTTCGTTCAACAATGTAAAAAGTACCACGCAAAATTAAGTGGCGAAGATGGATTGAACTTAGTGAAATTTATTTCTTCAACTGACGATTTTTTGGTGTCGTGTCGATAGATGTTTTGTTGTTAAGAGTCGGCTCATTCTGGGTGTACTAAGACTGGTGTATTGAGTTGTGGAGCTTCACGATTGAGTGGAAATACTAGTTTGGTTAAACCTTCTCAAATCTCCGGTATACACAAGACTGTTACAAAAAATACCAGTGTAAACATTGAGTTTCAATGTTGCTCTAGTAGATGAAGTCTGTGGCTTTACTTGCTTGTATAAAATCGAGACAAACCCTGATTTACTGGGAACGAAAAAACAACCCAACCAGCAGTATTGTAATATAACTTGCTATTAAGCTAATATTAAAAAGTAGCAAATTCAAATCGGCTTACCATTACAAACTGTTAAATTTGAACTTTCGATATTGCTATTTTCTTCCCAAAACAGTGTTTTCAATCGTTGTGTCTATAAGGGACGACGTCAAAAGATCGATGCCTGGCTAAAAAACTTATTCGCTTTAGTTTGGGGGTGGAGGGTTTTTGACATCAAAAAGTTTCCATCCTACAAAAACGATGTTTTTTAATGAAGTTAAAAAAATCTTGGAGACTTTGGAGTTTGTTTTTTTTCTATCCAATCATAGAAAAAATAACAGAAAATGAAAAAAAAAAAAAAACATCCAAGACGAGAAAATGGTTTGGTCCGAGTGTAAATAGGTGCATCAAATGAGGTCAATTTCAGGGCATGGACCTAGAGCATTTTACTATATTATAATAAGAGCATTGGTTTGGGAAATAACTAAAATGCAAATTGCAATGTTAACACTTATCTTATAATATGAGGTTATTACAAGAATACCTCAAAGTATGCACGTAGACACCTCAAAGTATGCACGAAGACAGTACAGCGGGAGTATCGTCTGGCGCATAGCAGAGGTCAATGTACAGCGTACTGTCAGAGTGCATACTTTCAGGTATTCTTGTAATAACCTTATTATTATACATCTTTTCCGTCCAAGGATACACCATGGGGATGCCAAAATCCAAAATGTTTAGAAACAGATTCAGTGAACTTCTTTGTGTTGAGTCCAGACAAACTCTGTTGGCAGCCATGTTTTTTTTTTTTATTAGAGGACGCTTACGCCATAATCAATCCATATTTAGAATTCAAATTTCCTAATATGGTAAAAGGAAAATACCCTGTAAAATTATGGCACGCTATAACTTATGGTGTTACGGTGACGGATGTATAATAATTGTAATTAATAATACTGGGCTGTAAACGCAGGAGGCTAGTGTGCTCATTTTTTGTTTTTAGTTGCACGCTAGACTCGAATATCATCATGTATCCTGAAAATGTCATTTGTAAAAGACTTCAGTAAAGCAGTATAGACCAATTAACATACCCAGCAAAATTTTTATAACAATTAATTGAAATAGCCAAAAAATTGACAAAATAAGGTTACAGTGAAGGGCAGAAAGCTGTGATTGTTGAAAATATTAATACAATGCATTGATGAATGGTTTTCTGCCACCTTAAAGAGCGATGATCAGCGCACAACGCTTGTTCGAATTTTCTGTAAACAATGTATTTTACACACATTGTGTACGTCACTATAAGTCCCCCATATGGAACAGGACACGGCGCGACGATCATAGTCATTTAACTTCTAAATCAGAAATGGTTTATACAATCCACAAAAACACACATGACATGAAGTATTGCAGTAAAATCCACCAATTTTATTCATGATTGGACGAGTATCCTGTATCGCTGTTGCTTAGCAGTTACTGGAGCGGAATACAGGAAAATACAGATAGATAATGGGTGGTGCAATTTTTTATAAATGTGTTCATTAGCAAACTAAGCCTCAGCTTTGTGCCATTGACTGTATCTACTTTTTTTATTTCAATGTTTCCAGGAACATACTATTTATTTTATTAGTGATATTGGCGTATGATAAATGGTTGTCTGAGGTCAATACACTCATCTGATTTAAACATTAACTGACCTAAATGATAAAACATTACTCCAGCCTTTTATTTTAATCAGACAACCAAATCATAGATTACAGAATTCTATATCTAACCAATGGCAACATTTATATTATATTTTTATGTTAGCTCCATGATTTCGCAATCACTGCATGTGACAATCTACAAAACTCCCGTTCTCATTGGATGAAAACAAAGCTGCCCCGCCCTACTATTAACATTGGCTTACTTGAGAAACCATACAGAAATATACGTGTATAAGGTACTTTTTCCCAGTTAACACTGGTAAACGTCGTACCCATTGTTATGGATTAACGTCTGTGTGTGTGCGCGCATGCGCGTGCGAGTGTCATTTTGTTTTTCAGATCAGATTCAAAATGGCTGACTTGCGGCCATTTTATTTTAATGAATGTGGTTCCGGAACCATAACTCTGACATGCCTTGACTAATCATGTTCTAACCTTGCCCGGACATCATAAATGATGTTATATGTATGCACATTAATTTGTTTGACGATCAGATTCAAAACTGCCAAATGCATCAAGCATTTCTGCTATTATGAACCCAGATCTAAGTTATGCATGAACAACTATTTTTCAGATCGTATTCAAAACAGCCAAATGAAAATGCTGTTTCAGAGCCATGTCTGTCAAATCTTTACTAATTCAGTGAGTGCAATAGACCATTATAATTGTCTACATTGTTCATTATATTATTTCGGTTTTGTATACTATTGAACCAACAGGGGCTTTGTCATAAAATATGTAGAAACCAATTTTAGGTTTAAAAGTTTAAAAATAATAATTTGGGGCTTGTATATGTTAAAGAAGTTGTTTGTGTTACACTTAGACTTTGAGTGTATGTTTTGGTTTTATTATGATGTACTCAAAAAACTGCTCTGCCTAATACCAAGCATCACATATTTAAACAATTTGTAATGTAGTAACTAGTTTACACATTGTAACATTCACAGGTAGACTAAGTAAACAGTATTCACTGCATTGTAAATAAATAAGTGATTATAAAATGAAGGTGAAACTCTGGACTTTTGTGAATAAGTAATGTTTACCTTATTAAGAAATTAAAATGCTAACATAAAAATAAAACGCAGTACAATATTATAACCCCCCCCCCCAAAATGAAGTAAACACTATCAAATGCATCTACAAATTGAGGTGTTGCTGTCTTTGTTTTGAAGTGAACATTTCTAAATACCACCCAAGTTGCAGTATGGTGTCCCACAAGGATCTGTTCCTAATTTCATTGTGTTCGCTATTTCATTGATTCGACTCTATGCTGATGACACTCAACTTTATTTGTGCTTTAAGGCAAACGCTATAAATGTGTATGGAAAGTGCTATAAAGGAAATTCATAACTTTTTCACACATAACAATTTACAGAAAGTCAGAAGTATTGGGGCAGCCAAACTCGCCAAACGGATTGGCGGCGTCTTCTGGTCACACCCTCTCTGGACGAATCTATATAACAGTAGGGGACGATCGTCATAATTCAGGAGCTAATCAGCGACGGTCTTACAGTTGGATGTCGATTTCACTTTCAAATATACTAGGGAAAGTGTTACTGTAAAATCTGTATTAGAAACCGCGGCTTCTATTAAAATGGTACAAAGCAACAGAGGGGATGCGGCTTCTATTAGAGCATCTACACATATGAGAAATGGTAAATTTTAGATTCTCAATTATTCAAAAAGAATGGGTGCGACTTATATTAGGGATGCGGCTTCTAATACAGATTTTACGGTATATCATGTTTTTCATGTAATGAGGTGTTTGTATACAAGGGAATGTCCATGCAAAAACGACGAATGAGCTTGATTGTTTTAGCGGTTGGCTTAATGTTACCCCAACGGATCGTTTAGATGTGAAAGTTTGTTGTTTCTTACCCGATTTGTAGGAAACTATTTCTCAACTTGTCTCTTTATTCAGTGTCAAGCAATGTTCAAGATGGCTACCCCCATATTGTAAATTTCGATGGGTTAATCGTATTTATAATATTATCACTTGTACGCCAGTTGACTGTGGCCATTCTCAGACTGATCAGGGAAACTACTTATACATTATAATGCCTCGCGTAACAAAGCAATTCCATGCTACGTATAAATATTCTATGTTCCCTAATGCAATATAGACTTGTCCAGAGTGGACACGACCACGAGACGGCGCCAGCGAGATTCCAAAGCTAATTGTTTAGTCAAAACCCAAGCGGTTAGCCAATTCGCTAGTGAGTTTGCAAATTGGCTGCCCCAATACTTCTGAGACTTACTGTAAAACAAAACAGAATTATTAGTGGCGTTCACGTTACAGATCTCACCACATGTTGAGTCGGGACCGAGTCATCACGTGCTGAAATGTGTGTGTAGGATTTCAATTGAGGGCATGATTTCAGCACAAGCAGAGTGGCCG